TCTGAGCTGCTTCAGCAGCTCCTCACGGCGCTGGAGTTCTCAAAGGCCGTGTTTTCCTTCGGGATGAGCCTAGCCCTGCCTTGGCCTAACCTTGCAGCTCCCCGTGGGATTGTGGCCTTGTTGCAGGTGGAGTTGCCGTGGCTGTTGTTGTCCCCACACACTTGGCACAGGGAGTTCCCTCTGGAAACTGAGCCATGGGGGAGAAAACCATGGAGAGACGTGGAGCTCTGACCCTCCCCGGTCCCTGATTCCCAGATTTCTCCCTGTGATCAGGAACAGGCTGGGGTGGGAGTTGGGAATGAGAAGGTAAATCTGCAGCAGTCCTGGCCACAGGATGTGTTGTGCTCCATGAATTCACTCAATCCCAGGGAGCAGGGCATGGCTGGCTTTGCTCTTCTCCCCCTCCCTGGCTGCCCTCTGCTCCTGCTTCCCTTGTCCTGCCTGGGATCCTCCATCCCTCAGGGAGTCAGTTCAGCTCACTAGGGTGGAACAGAAGGATTCCCTTTATATATCCATAGGTATATATTTACTTTGCTGGGTTGGCTGCTGTTGTGGTGTCAGCTTTCCAGCATTACACTGCTGATCCAAGTGACCCCTGGCACACGCAGGAGGGAGAGGGAGGGAGAGCCTGGAGGTGGAGAAGTTGGTGGCACCAATGGGAAGCTGCTCCAGCCAAGGGCAGCACGAGCCACTTGTGAAACCGCAGCGGCTGAACCTTGTGCAGTCCCGAGCCTGAACGGGCTCCAGCCCTGGCACAGATTCCCTGAGGAGCCTCCCCCATGTGTGCCCAGCTCTGGGGGTGCTGGGAATGTGCAGGGGGCTCCGAAGGAGTGACTCAGCCCTTGGATGAATTCAGAGAGCAGGAGATCTGGGAGCAGCCCGTGGGGTTTGGGACCACACGACCCGGCTGTGGGCGAGCTTGGGACCCAAGGAGAGCATGGCAGGATCCTGGGAGGGAGTGGAAGTTGGGAGGAAGAAGTTCTGGTTCTTCTCCAGTCCCTTCTTTTGATTTCTTTTCGCCCATGAGAGGTCTATGAAAAAAACCCACCTAAACAGCTCTGGCTTCTTGGGAGTAGAAACACAGCACAGGATGGGGTGGGAATTGCTCAGCCTTCCCAGACTGGGGCTTTTCCTGTCCCCTGTGAGAATTAATTTATTTTCTTTCCCTGCCTGACTCCAAGGGGAGGAGTGAACCTCGTCCTTTAGTCCCAAGCCAGGTGATAAGAGCTCCTCTCCAGGGCTGGGGGTTGTGGGTTTGAACCTTCACGGTGACACTGGGCTTGGGTTCCTGTGTTCAGGTCACTGCTGTCACTGCTGGGCCCTTTTTCACCCTGTGCTCTAAGAAGGGTGGAATTCGTAGAATCCCAGACAGGTTTGGGTTGGAAGGGACCTCAAAGCTCATCCCATTCCATGGGCAGGGACACCTTCCACTAGAGCAGTTACCCAGAGCCCTGTCCAGCCTGGCCTTGAATTAAGACACTGGGCAAGAACCGTGTCCTTGGTCTGAAGAAACTTGAATGCTGCATCAGGTTTCCTGATTCCCAGTGTTGGGAAGTGAGGATATCAAGGAGCACAGAGAAAACCAACAGCACTGGAGCTTAATTAAAAAAAATAAATCACTGTCTGAAGCAGCAAGGTGCCACCAGTGGGACCCTTTGTGTTTGTGCTGGAGTGCAGAGATCTAATTGCACCTTTCACTGCTGTAATTAGGGTGAGGTGATAAGGCACTGCCTTATTAAAATACTCCACCCAGTCGAGATAAACTAATTAGGTAACTTGCACCACACTTGTGAAGCTGCCCCTTGGGAATAAGTGCTTCAGGAGTTGGTGTTTCCTTCCAGAGTTCTCTCCATAAATGCAGCCAGGGAGCTGGGTGTAACAGCCTTGGGCACAGGCCACTTTGGGAATGTCAGTGGCTCCTGTCCCTGCTGTTCCCAGGGAAAGGGGCAGCTCCTGAGTGGCCTCATCCCAGTGCTCCCTGTGTTTGAGACCTCTCGGTGGCTCCTGGAGGAGTCAGGCTGGTAAAAAGCCCTCAGGACTGTTGGGATTTCCTTCCTCACTGGGTTTTCTCTGCCCCACAGGCCCTGCTGGAGTGGAAGAGTTACCTGGATTGTCGGTGACTCCGCCTGCCCTGGAGGATAAAGGTCTCTGGGCTGCTGCTCCTCCCTGCAGACTTTCTCCTGGCAACCTCTGGGATAAGCTCTGGGAATCACCTTGTCTTCACTCTGTCCTTGCCTCCTCCCCTCTTGGATCCTTGGAGTGATTAGTTTCTTCTTCCCTGTTCTCCCTTCATAGACGGACCTACTAACAGCCCCTTTCCTGAAATGTCCCTGCTCTTTATTTTGGGACACCTTTTAAACAAACATTCCTTCCTCCTTTACCAAAGCAGACGATGGCTGCCAAAGGTAATTGCACTCCATGGTTTGGAACCTTTAAGGAACTGCTCCCAAAAATCCTGGGGGTGTGATAGTCCTCACGGTAGTAAATGTCTACCTTGTCTTTCTACCTGGGCTTTAGGTCTCTTGGTAACAAATTTTTGACTCCTGGATTAGGGACAGAAATAAAAAGAAATGTTGCCTCTTGGAATTTTCACTTTTAAAGCCAGACCCTGCTGGGCAGCAGAGGGGCCTCCACGGAAAAGAAGCTGCCACTGCTAAATTCGAGCCTCCCAAACTGGGATTGCCAGCAGAAGTTCTTCTCAAGCCACACTCCTAAATAAAAGTTGGATACCAGAGTGGGATGCACCAGTAACATGGAGCCTCAAAACAAACATCTGAAAGTTACTTTTCACTCACATTTTATTCTGAAGTGATTAAATATTATTTGGGCATATCAAACTTTTTATGTTATTAATGTGTTTCCAGCTGACAGTGGTATTAGAATATGTCACTTCAGGGCAGGTTGCCCACAGAAGCTGTGGCTGCTCCATGCCTGGAAGCGTCCAGTTCCAGGTTGGAGGGGGCTTGGAGCAAGCTGGGCTGGTGGAAGGTGTCCCTGCCCATGGCAGGGGTGGCACTGGAGGCACTTTAAGGTCCCTCCCCACCCAAACAGTCCGTGATAATTTCCATCATACACCTTATTCTCTCACACTGTTCATGTACACAGGTCATTTTTATTTACAGCAACAATGCAGAGCCTCGTTTTTAGATAAAAAGAGACTGTTCACAAACTGGTTGGTGAATGGTTTTAACTGCAGAAAAATAGCTGGGATGGGACAGAATTTGTTTTGTTTCGAGGCAGCAGGATGTGCAGCTCCTGCTCTGCAAAGCTTTTGCTTCTCGCTCCTCCACCCCTTGTAGGCAGGTTCCTGTCCCCTGCTCCCAGCTGGAATGGCTGCAGTTCCCTGGCCATTGGCTGCTGGAGTGGGAGCAGTGGGGCGGGAATGCTGGGCCAGGGCAGCACATTTTAACCAGGGGCTGCTGCTCCCTCTTCCCTTTGAGCTCCCGGGTCCTGCTCTGCTCAGCCTGCACGGAGCACACAGTAAGTCTGGGCTGGCCCTGCCTTCCAGTCACTCACTTGGAAAGTTTTAAATTTCAAATTTTTTTTCGTTTAATTTAAAAGTTTAAGGGTTAAAAGTTCTAATTTTTTTCCCACATAATTATGTTGTGTATAATTCAACTTATTATTGATAAAAAATTGCCATAAATATTACTATTTAATGGCAGCTGTCTCTGGACTCCACTGACTACATGTTTAACTTCAGTGGAGGAGACAGCTTATAAATGTTCTTTAATATTCCCATTACTGTCTTTAATTCATCCCTTTGCTGTATCCCTTATTCTTTTATCTTCAATTTTTTCTTGATTTGTAATATAAAAGAGGTTAAGCATAATATCCCAAATATCTACACCATAACTGATCATTTTTAGGCCAGGGTGTTTTTTTTTAATTGCAAGTCATCCTGGAGTTCTGTAGCTAAAACATTTCTCAATGCTGCAACGTGTATATTTTGTCCAACACTTGATTAGAAACCTGTTGGTCTCCCCCAGCATGAAACTACTGTTGAATTTTATCTCTGGTATGATAGTGATATGTGATACATGATATGATATTATAGTGATATTATATGATAGTGAAGGACTCAGTGTTAATGTTCTGTATCTTACCCTTCTCTTCATGTTTATTTTGGCTTTGTTCTGCCTGGGTATTTTCCCTAATCCAGATATTTTGCCTCATCAGAGCAGCTTTATCCAAGTCAAGCTGTAGCAGCTGACGTGACGTCCCTGTCTTATCTGAAAATCTGCTTTTGATCATTTCTGCTTTTCCCTTAGAAATGTGTTGGGGTTTGTTGGGGTTTTTTTGCCTTTTCTGAGGTGCATTTTGTGTGTCCTGCCCTCCTGTGTCTGAGCTCACCTTGGAGCCCTGGCCAGGAGGGCAGGTCGGTGCCCTGTGTGAGGGGAGGGTCTGGGGGTGTGTGACATACTGGGATTACAGCAGAGGCACGGCGTGTTCCTGGTGTCCAAACCTCTGCTCCAGGCTCTGTCCCTCCTCCTGGGAATGGCCCCTACAGCCTCTGCTCTGCAGCCAGGCTGGGAGAGCTGGGGGGGTTCACCTGGA